AACTACTTTGAGAGTTATACCATTCACATTTTAACTTGCCATGTACACGAGTCTGTAGATCAAGAATTGGTCAGGTAATTTTCCTGAAATTATTGAAATGCAACAGTGCATATCAATAATTTCAGGAAAATTACCTGACCAATTACGTTGAAACAGTAATGAGTTTATCTGACCGTGAAGTTATCCTTTTCCGGTTTTTTTTCAGCATTACCAGTTCACTAACTGTGGTGCAAAAGCTTTCCACACTAGGCAGTAGGATCGAATGCATACATACTGCAGATTTCAGCAACCGTTTCACCAGTCTACCGCATTCTCACGTTATTGATAACCTATTCTAACTTATTGACCTCTGCTTCACCAATGCAGGGAAAGAATACACTGGTTTAAGTAAAACCCAAACTTGGTATGCTAACGAATTCACATGTGGCGTCATATCTTACACAAAGAATGAAGGCCAGGCGATGCTTCGAATTATTCTCGAGGAAACATACGTACGATTTAGTGGCTACGTTTTCAAGCAAACACAAGGTTTACCAGTGGGAGGTAATGTTAGTCCATTGCCGATCTCATTATCGGTCATCGAGTATCGGTTTCGTCGTAAAAATCCTACTATTCATCTTCATCTCTTTCGGTATATCGATGACATCCTCATTGTCAACTGCGCCAACTTTGCTGAAATCGCCAGTAATTTCTATGAACTCAGCTTGCAACTCAACTCCACCTACTCCGAACAAAGGGCTTGCTTTTTAGACCTCGAAATTTCATGCTAAGAGGGCAGATGCATTTTCAGTGTGTACAATAAAACCTTAGACTACCCATTCAACGTAAATCACGGAACTTCTCCACATATTGATATGGACCAAACGGTGCAGGAAGGAGTCAGATCGCAACTACTTCGTTATGCACATATATGCACTCTTCCAGAGGGATTCCATAACTGGGCTAAACGGCTTATAGCCAAAAAAGTTTGATATTGCCAAACTAGAACGCTCCATTTTCAGATTTTGCTTCAGGAACCGAGCGGTACTGAATTAATTCATCTTCCCTGATAATTCGGGAATTAAACGCCTAGTGAGCAGTTTATTCTCATAAAGCTCTTCCTAAGCCCTCCTTTTTTTCCTCTTTCGCTTTTCTGCTCCTTCACTTATATCTCTTTCT